TTTGATCCTAAAAAAAAGCGTAAAACTTTGTATTCTTACCTCAGTGGTGATGATAGTCGTACAGTTTAAGTGAAGAAGCTGTAACATACAGTTTCAGTTATCACTTGTTTTCTATGTTTTCTTTTTACTTTAGTATTGTTTGGAGTCATGTTTGGAACATTAATGTGATGTATATCTGTTTTCGTCGGATCATTTGACAAATAATCTAATGTGATGTGTCTATGTTTTGGCTTTGTTTGTTTTCGATGGATCCTTGTCCAATTTTCGTGGAAAATACATTTTTTAGGGAAAAAACATTTTAGGAAATAAACGTTTGTCCTAATTTATGTCCAAACATCATTAAGTCCTTAGATATGTCCAACCACCCCATCATTAATTTCGAGGAATTCCAAACTAAATGTTGAAAAGCAATAAGTCTTCTAAGGAACATCGTATACTTGTAAGGGTTGTATTCTAGTGGGATCACATTTTGCTAATTTCGAGGAAAGCACGTTTTAGGAAATATTTTTATAAGAAACCATTGGGTATGATAAGATATTTAATATTTTGGAATGTACAACTACACAAGGGTTTTTGAAGATGTAGTACAACTAATTTTACTTAAAATTGGAAAAGGTACAGCTACGAATACTTTGGTACAACTATGAATTGTGGTACAACTATTGAGAAATAATTGTTCACTATAACTGACCACGTGTTTTATACCAATAAAAATGTGCTTATCATTAAAAACCGTGCTTGTCATTAAAAACGTGATAGTTTAATGGATCAGTTTAATTGCAAATGTTTTGAATTATTTAAAATACACCATGGATCATTTCAAATATTTTGAATGTTTTGAATTTCAAATGTTTTAGGATTATAATGGATAATATCTAGGGTTTCCAAATTAAATCCATATTAAATTTGAATATTCCGACACACACACTTCTACTTCCACTCTTCTCCTCTTCACTTCTTCACTCTTATTCTCTTCTCTGCAACTTCTGCAATTTTGAGGTTCAACCTAGAGAAAGAAATCTGGTTCATTCCATCACTTCTTCTTCTCTTTCTCGTTTGGATTAGGTTTCTAATCCTTGGGTTTTTGATTTTCAATCTAGATCCGGCTTCAATTTTGGGTTTGTTTGCGAAATCGTTCCATCACTTCATTCACGTTTCGATTAGATTTCCAATCCTTGGGTTTTTGATTTTCAATCTAGATCCGGCTTCGATTTTGGGTTTGTTTGCGAAATCGTTCCATCACTTCATTCTCGTTTCGATTAGGTTTCCAATCCTTGGGTTTTTGATTTTCAATCTAGATCCGGCTTCGATTTTGGATTTGTTTGTGAAATCGTTTCATCACTTCATTCTCATTTCGATTAGGGTTTCCAATCATTGGGTTTTTGATTTTCAATCTAGATATGGGTTCGATTTTGGATCGTTTGCGAAATCGTTCCATCACTTCTTTCTCGTTTAGATTAGGGTTTTAATTTTTCGTTTGTTTTCGATATATTATTGAGTATTGAATCTTGGATCTTTGGCTTTTTTACAACAACGATGGGGAGAACATTCAATTATAGTTTAAGTTCTTTGTCTGCTAGCATCCGCAGTGGATGTCGAGAAGCTGATGGAGAGTACGACATTCCGGCGAGTCTATGTTACTATGGTGGACGAGTCGTGGTCTAGACTTTTTGGACTGATCTAAACCCGGGAAAGAGGTTCTTCACTTGCAAGAATAGTGAGGTAAAGATCCGGATTGTAGTGAGTAATACATTGACCGATAAACATTTAGGATTGATGTATATGTGAAGTATAGGAAGAAGGTGTTCACGTTTGGAAATGGTGGGACGATGCCGTTATGGAGGAATTCAACATCGTCAAAGTCCGATTAGATGAGGCAGCTGAGAAGATTCGGAACCTGAAAGTGTTTGGGGGGACGACTCTTCAAAATATTGAATTCCTTGCCTTGAAGCAGCGCCTAGTGGAGTATGAAGCAAAGCTGAAGGAGCTGAAGTTGGAGTTGCTTGCCAACAGAGGTGTGAATGAGTGGATGCTCAAGTTTGCGATTGGTGGAGGACTTATTGGGTTTGCAGTCATATCCACTGCAATTCTCCGTCTCTTTAAGTAATATATATGTTATCCATATCTATGCTATCTACTTCATGCTAGGAATCTGGATCTATGCTTCGATATCGCTATGTGAAATATTTTCGGTACTCTATGCTATGGAATCCTGTAATATTTAGGCTAAGACTTAATAACTTAATATGTTATGAATCAATATTTTGTAATTTATTGTGCTCTATGAATGAACGTTATGTTATGGAAG